CTGCAACCGCTGCATGCGGCCCGGGTCCACCCCGGCCCGCTGCTGGAAGGTGGCCAGCATCTCGGCGCACCTCCCGCTGGAGGAAGAGGACGATGACGACGACGTCGACGCGGGGTGACGACGACGACGACGACGACGACGACGACGAGGTGGCGAGGGCGAGGCGGCGAGGAGGATGACGAGGAGGACGAAGCGACAAAAACGAGGAAGAGCGGGGGGTCGAAGGAGGGCGAGGACGAGAAGCTGGCGCATCGATGGGCCCGCGCAGTCGAAGTGGGTTGAGGAAGCCGGGGAAGGAGGGCAGACTAGGGAATGAAATTACGATAAGCAAGGATGGCTCCTGCTTACGAACAGACGTGTCACACGGATCAAATTTGGTGTCAAACGGCCATATAAGCTGGCCAGCCCACGCGCCTCAGAGCCAAAATGGCGGCGGGAAAAACGGAAACCATTCAGACAGCAAGAGGGGCAGAAACAATACTTCTCTAGGAGACATACCGTTCGAGTCTGGTCCTCAAACGAGTCTGCTCATGCCTCGCAGGCTCAGGCGTGAAAACCACGCCCAAACCAGCGAAGCAAATAATTCGCTGGGCGCAGAGGACCTTCCACCGACCAGGCACCTCGTAAAACGTTGCAATGGAACGCGATGCAACAGACCACTGGTGGAGCACAGAATTGCCCGACGCGCAACAGCCTGCTGCTCAACGAACACCAGTTGATGGCAATAGCCCCTCAATTTCATAAATCACGATGTCTCATTCGAGAACACAGTTGGCGACGTGCGAATGTCTTTTTCTATCTCTCCTCTGTCGACTGCGAAGCTGGGATTGCAACGACACGGTCATGCAAAGCCCTGCCCGATTCGCCTGAAGCCGACAGGGGTTGATGGCGAACGGCTCGGTATAACTCAGTCTGGCGAGTCGCCCACGCTCTGGGTGAGATTACTGCGCAGGGAGCTCGGTACTGGGTCCCATGGCCGTTCGTCGCGCAGCTTGACCGCGGCATGGTCGCACTTGAGCCCCCCGCCAATTACGTCCAGGATGAGTTCCCAACACGCATCGCACCGGAGCACGTCTACGACCTGCCTGGTACGGAGCTGATATGATAGCCATCGCGGGTGGCCTGCCATGCCGTTCGCTGAAGCGGCCGAACAGGATCCACGGCGAGGGCCGCGACGACGGACATCCCTCCCGTCCACGACCAGGGTTGCTGGAACTGCGAAGCATCCCCCCCCTCCCAGCTCACCGATCTCGCCGGCTGAGACTGGGACGTCACGACGTAGGCCGGCAACGCATCAGCTGCGCCGCATGCTGCGAGCAGCTCGAAGCCGGATGAAGACCTGCACACAAGCTTGCGCGAGCAGCTCACAGCGCCGAGCAAGTGGCAGACCCCCTTGCCGGCGTTGCAGCACTTGCCCTGGCGCAGGTAGATGGCGACTCTCATGCCGTACCTCGTCTCCTCCTCCTCCTTCTTGAATGACGGTCGCTGCGCGCGCAGATCTGGCCAGCGCATTCCGCGGCTGGGAAGGCGACGCGCGGCTTGATCTTCGGCGCGGCGAGGACTACTGAGTTCAGTTGCATCGCATGGCGCATTGGCAGCTGGTTCGCGGCCCTCTGCAATGCCACGACGCGCGCTGCGACGCGGCCCTGGGAGACCAGGGCGCGAGCAGCTGCTCCCAGAAAGGGGGCGAGGAGATGAGGAGATTGACCACTGCTGGCCCGTCGGCCTCCGCCTTGACCAAACCGACGTGCTCCATCGGCATCAAGGCATCGATGTGCGAGTTCTGGTCGGAGAGTCACGGCGCCGTCGGCGACGCTGCGCTGGCGAACGCCGCAGTTGGTGAAGTCGTCGAAGTCACCCTCCATCTCTCCGAACACGCTCACGACGTGGCCAATGCGCCGATCGACGTGCCCCCTTTGTCCAGCGATCTTCAGATCGCCCACGCGCTTGGACAACGCGAGCACAAGCTTGACAAAATCGAATGAATTCACCAGGATCCTGCTTGGTGCCGCGATGATCCCGCGATGGCTCCGATGCTGCAGCTGATGGTGTTACGATGGCTCTGTCGCTGCATATTCGACAAAGCCATCTGAATGAATCGGGCCCCTGCCTGGTTCCACCATGGCTCCGACGCTGCAAGTTTGAGGGCACCACATGGATTCAGAATGAAGTCCAGCCTCGCTCCACGACGGTGCCACGATGGTTCCGACGGACGGCAATCGAAGGACACTTTCGCACATGCCTGTTGGGGCCGTCGTGGAATAATTTTGGAGCCTCCTGGGCCCTCGATGTCTCTCCCCTCTCGGGGCCAAGGGGGCCCCTCTGATGGAATGGTGGGCGGGCGACCGGGTCACTTGAGAGAGGCCAGAAGAGGCTCTACAGAAAGTCAGATAAGTAGGTGCGATTCAAGAACTCGGTCCGAAATCTCAAATCGCACGACGGCGCGCCACACTGTCTCGGTTCAGCCAGGCCAAGGGCTGTCGGCCCAGCCAGCCTGGGG